TTAAAATATGTAAATATCTCAATTTGAAAAGTGGAATAAAAAGGGATAATACATGCAAACCTAGCGATTTTAATTGATCAATTTAGCAGTTTCACTTGAAAATTGGATTGCTGTAGAGCTGAGTAGAGTTGAGCACACAGATCCAGTCTGGTAGCTCAGCCACACAAGGCTTCTGTGACATTTGTCAGACTACTTAATGGTGTATTAGTGGTAAAGCCATGTTATCAGCTGGACGCTGTCCTATACATCAAGTATATATACAAATCACTACATAAGGCCTTGTGTGACATGTGTATCATACAGATGTTGACAGGATTTCAACAAAACATCCAGACGATGAAGCAATAACATTGATATAATTATTATTTCTGTTGTTTTTTTGGGGTATTTTTTCGTATTTGTAAGTAGAGGAAATACCACATCAACCTTAAGGAACATCCTGTCAGGATTTGTCCAAACAAATATACAAGAGGCCCAGGGGGCCTGTATCATTCACCTTGATATACGTACATGGCTATGGGTTGGGGATCTCAACTATTTGATTTCAAAGTGATGGTCCAGAAATTAAGTCTGTAGGTTTATATATAAGGGCCAGAACCCAGGGTCAATTATAATATCATGTTTGTGTTTATTTCTTATTTGTATATGATTGTGAGATAACAAAGGGACTAAGTCTCCAAGGGTGGGGCCAGACCCAGAAGCAATCCTCAGCCCCTCCATTTGTGCACTTTTGAACCCTCACCATCTAAGAATGTTTCCAGTCAATTTTGGTCAAATTCCAATAAGCTATAAAAAAGAAGAAGTCATTTTAGGAAATCATTGATGGACTGAGGGACAATGGAGGCAACACTCTAGCATCAGCTCGCCTTGAACTGACAAGGACATGTCAACCAATCAGTCTTGGGTTGGAATCTCGCACAGTTGAGCCAGGACACTCCCGTTTACCAGGTATCTCAATTGATTAGAGGGATAATAATCGGAAGTACAGGGTTCAAATCAGCTATTGTTTTGAGTAAAAATTATGTGGGGTAAGACTGGGATTCAAACTCTGGACTTCAGATTGTTCAGATATTTGACCCCTGCGAGACCTTCAACATTTGTCAAGGTCACCCAGTTTAACAGACTTTCTAGCACTACATCTCAGGTACCTACTCGCCAAATATCATAACCCTGGGCCTTCTGGTTATTCAGATGAATTTGTTTAAAGATTTTATATATTTGACCACTTTGGCCTTGAAATTATACGTATGTCAAGGTGATTTACTGGAGGAAAGTTTTCAGCACTCTATCCAAGGAACCTACTGGCCAAATATCATGGCCCTAAGGACATCCAGTTCTTGAGAAGAAGTTGTTCAAAGAAAAAAGTTGATGGACATCGGATGAGACGGACAAAGGATAATTAACGCACCTTACCCTAAATCCAACTGGTAATTCATGCCAGGTGAGCTAAAATTGAAGAAACTAATGCTTCAAATTAAGTTAGACTATCAAAGCCTGCATATATAAAACTGTCCAGAGATCATGCTTAAATTATCTGCACTAACCACCGTTCTTCCAAATCTCTGATGGGATCAAAAGGTAAACATTTAATACCGAACTAGAACTTAAAGCTACAAGTTTATTCTAATTAGTACTAACAAGATTAGATTAGAAAAGGTACTCTCTGACCCTGGCACAGCAACAGAGTTTGAGCATGAGAACCGTTTCATATTTAACATATGATAAGTTATTTCCTTCTAGACTGCATTAACCCTCGGAATGTGATGCTGTATTAGCGGTGCTGACTGTTGTTGGTCGAGTTTCCCTAAAGGACTGATAAGTGACATAAACAATACTTTTCTTGCATCCAAGTAGAGAGATATTATCATTGTCACCTAGCTATGTTTTGATAGGCAATACTGCTTTATATATGTATACCCACAAATATATGTATTATATACCCACAAGTATATGTATTATATACCCACAAATATATGCATTATATAACCACAAATATCTAATACAGAAACATAGTGATATTTTGCTTTTATAAGCTTCTGTCTAACTAAAAAAACCAAAAACATTTTCTTACGTTTAACATCCTATTAAAAGTTATGTTCCTTAAGGACGTACAAACAACCCTCATACATGGTAGACACACAACCCTCATACATGGTAGACACAGCCCTCATACATGGTAGATACAACCCTCATACATGGTAGACACAACCCTCATACATGGTAGACACAACCTTCATACATGGTAGGCACACAACCCTCATACATGGTAGACACACAACCCTCATACATGGTAGACACAACCCTCATACATGGTAGACACGCAACCCTCATACATGGTAGACACAACCTTTATACATGGTAGACACACATCCCTCATACATGGTAGACACAACCCTCATACATGGTAGACACACAACCCTCATACATGGCAGACACAACCCTCATACATGGTAGACACACAACCCTCCTACATGGTAGACACACAACCCTCATACATGGAAGACACACAACCCTCACACATGGTAGACACACAACCCTCATACATGGAAGACACACAACCCTCACACATGGTAGACACACACCCCTCATACATGGTAGACACACAACCCCCATACATGGTAGACACAACCCTCATACATGGAAGACACACAACCCTCACACATGGTAGACACAACCCTCATACATGGTAGACACACACCCCTCATACATGGTAGACACAACCTTTATACATGGTAGACCCACATCCCTCATACATGGTAGACACAACCCTCATACATGGTAGACACACAATCCTCATACATGGTAGACACAACCATACAGGTAGTATGTTGGTGTATTTGCCTCCTTGCAAAAACACAGATCTGATGCCAACTTTAGAGTGTAACCTCACTGAAATACTATGCCAAAGTCACTCAGCAAAGTATTCCAACTGGTCGTATTATTCAGCAATAAACTGAATTTAATTGAAAATTGTACCACCCATAGTACCTGCATTATTTACCTGTACTTGTATTTGGGTTTATAAACATCCATCAACACCTGTATCTATACACCTGTATTCTATACTTTAACATCTATCACAGAAATGCACCTTATTCAGTAAATACCACCCAGAATTAACTGCTTTTATGTGTAACTTTTATCACTTTGTAAATTATTTTTTTTCAAACAGATTTGCTTTACAGTTTAATTGGCAGTGCACAGCTATGATCCAGAGTTATTCGTGGGTCACAGATAGGTCAGACTGATAACATGAAAAGGAAATTGTATATAAACTTGTGAAGGAATACTGCATTGCAAAAGTATACATGTAATAAAATACCTAATCCTCTCACTATAGCTAGATAGTGTCAGTTTTCCAGAGTCATCAGGTGAAGCTTGATCAGCATAAAATTTATCTCTGTGATGTTAACCCTCTCTATCCACATCAACACTGTGATGTTAACCCTCTCTATCCACATCAACACTGTAATGTTAACCCTCTATATCCACATCAACACTGTAATGTTAACCCTCTATATCCACATCAACACTGTAATGTTAACCCTCTATATCCACATCAACACTGTAATGTTAACCCTCTATATCCACATCAACACTGTAATGTTAACCCTCTATATCCACATCAACACTGTAATGTTAACCCTCTATATCCACATCAACACTGTAATGTTAACCCTCTATATCCACATCAACACTGTAATGTTAACCCTCTATATCCACATCAACACTGTAATGTTAACCCTCTATATCCACATCAACACTGTAATGTTAACCCTCTATATCCACATCAACACTGTAATGTTAACCCTCTATATCCACATCAACACTGTAATGTTAACCCTCTATATCCACATCAACACTGTAATGTTAACCCTCTATATCCACATCAACACTGTAATGTTAACCCTCTATATCCACATCAACACTGTAATGTTAACCCTCTATATCCACATCAACACTGTAATGTTAACCCTCTCTATCCACATCAACACTGTAATGTTAACCCTCTCTATCCACATCAACACTGTAATGTTAACCCTCTATATCCACATCAACACTGTGATGTTAACCCTCTCTGTCCACATCAACACTGTGATGTTAACCCTCTATATCCACATCAACACTGTAATGTTAACCCTCTATATCCACATCAACACTGTGATGTTAACCCTCTGTATCCACATCAACGCTGTCATTTCTATACACAACAGAACTGTCTACATTACACTTGGAATGAATCTTAATACTGAATATACCTTCGAAAACTTTAAGATTATTTTAGCAGTAAACTTATCAAACTTAATGCTTTGAAAAGTTCATCAGACGCAGCAGAGGATTATATTCTTGGAGTCTTATTTAATATAAATAAAGCATATCTGGATATGTCATAAAGGCATCAAATTAGTAAGCAAATAAAATGAAATGTGAAGTAACCAAAATAAAACTTAAATGCAAAAATAAAACTACACACTTTGAGCTACACTAGAACGTAACACTTACCTCAATACATTCAACAAAGGTATCAGAGTCTTTCTTTCCTTCAGGTCTGTGGAGTCTGGGGTTCTGTGGAGTCTGTGGAGTCTGGGGTTCTGTGGAGTCTGGGGTTCTGTGGAGTCTGGGGTTGTTCTGTAGAGTCTGGGGTTCTGTGGAGTCTGAGGTTCTGTGGAGTCTGAGGTTCTGTGGAGTCTGGGGTTCTGTGGAGAGTCTGGGGTTCTGTGGAGAGTCTGGGGTTCTGTGGAGTCTGGGGTTCTGTTGAGTCTGGGGTTCTGTGGAGTCTGGGGTTCTGTGGAGTCTGGGGAGTCTGGGGTTCTGTGGAGTCTGAGGTTCTGTGGAGTCTGAGGTTCTGTGGAGTCTGGGGTTCTGTGGAGAGTCTGGGGTTCTGTGGAGAGTCTGGGGTTCTGTGGAGAGTCTGGGGTTCTGTGGAGTCTGGGGGTCTGTGGAGTCTGGGGTTCTGTGGAGTCTGGGGTTGTCTGAGGATCTGTGGAGTCTGAGGTTCTCTGGAGTCTGAGGCTCTGTGGAGTCTGGGGTTCTGTGGAGTCTGAGGTTCTGTGGAGTCTGGGGTTCTGTGGATACAAGAATTACAATTTAATTTCCATCGCAGCTTCAGATCAATCTTTTGTTGTCCTGTCGGCTACTGAAATGTGACCTGACAACATGTCTGATATCCACCGTAGTACCTAATGTTAGGAACTCATTCTAACTTATCTGGTGTTGTTGTTATGTGATCCGACAACATGTCTGATATCCACCGTAGTACCTAATGTTAGGAACTCATTCTAACTTATCTGGTGTTGTTGTAATGTGAGCTGACAACATGTCTGATATCCACCGTAGTACCCAATGTTAGGAACTCATTCTAACTTATCTGGTGTTGTTGTTATGTGATCTGACAACATGTCTGATATCCACCGTAGTACCCAATGTTAGGAACTCATTCTAACTTATCTGGTGTTGTTGTTATGTGATCTGACAACATGTCTGATATCCACCGTAGTACCCAATGTTAGGAACTCATTCTAACTTATCTGGTGTTGTTGTTATGTGATCTGACAACATGTCTGATATCCACCGTAGTACCCAATGTTAGGAACTCATTCTAACTTATCTGGTGTTGTTGTTATGTGATCTGACAACATGTCTGATATCCACCGTAGTACCCAATGTTAGGAACTCATTCTAACTTATCTGGTGTTGTTGTTATGTGATCTGACAACATGTCTGATATCCACCGTAGTACCTAATGTTAGGAACTCATTCTAACTTATCTGGTGTTGTTGTTATGTGATCTGACAACATGTCTGATATCCACCGTAGTACCCAATGTTAGGAACTCATTCTAACTTATCTGGTGTTGTTGTTATGTGATCTGACAACATGTCTGATATCCACCGTAGTACCCAATGTTAGGAACTCATTCTAACTTATCTGGTGTTGTTGTTATGTGATCTGACAACATGTCTGATATCCACCGTAGTACCCAATGTTAGGAACTCATTCTAACTTATCTGGTGTTGTTGTTATGTGATCTGACAACATGTCTGATATCCACCGTAGTACCCAATGTTAGGAACTCATTCTAACTTATCTGGTGTTGTTGTTATGTGATCTGACAACATGTCTGATATCCACCGTAGTACCCAATGTTAGGAACTCATTCTAACTTATCTGGTGTTGTTGTTATGTGATCTGACAACATGTCTGATATCCACCGTAGTACCCAATGTTAGGAACTCATTCTAACTTATCTGGTGTTGTTGTTATGTGATCTGACAACATGTCTGATATCCACCGTAGTACCCAATGTTAGGAACTCATTCTAACTTATCTGGTGTTGTTGTTATGTGATCTGACAACATGTCTGATATCCACCGTAGTACCCAATGTTAGGAACTCATTCTAACTTATCTGGTGTTGTTGTTATGTGATCTGACAACATGTCTGATATCCACCGTAGTACCCAATGTTAGGAACTCATTCTAACTTATCTGGTGTTGTTGTTATGTGATCTGACAACATGTCTGATATCCACCGTAGTACCCAATGTTAGGAACTCATTCTAACTTATCTGGTGTTGTTGTTATGTGATCTGACAACATGTCTGATATCCACCGTAGTACCCAATGTTAGGAACTCATTCTAACTTATCTGGTGTTGTTGTTATGTGATCTGACAACATGTCTGATATCCACCGTAGTACCCAATGTTAGGAACTCATTCTAACTTATCTGGTGTTGTTGTTATGTGATCTGACAACATGTCTGATATCCACCGTAGTACCCAATGTTAGGAACTCATTCTAACTTATCTGGTGTTGTTGTTATGTGATCTGACAACATGTCTGATATCCACCGTAGTACCCAATGTTAGGAACTCATTCTAACTTATCTGGTGTTGTTGTTATGTGATCTGACAACATGTCTGATATCCACCGTAGTACCCAATGTTAGGAACTCATTCTAACTTATCTGGTGTTGTTGTTATGTGATCTGACAACATGTCTGATATCCACCGTAGTACCCAATGTTAGGAACTCATTCTAACTTATCTGGTGTTGTTGTTATGTGATCTGACAACATGTCTGATATCCACCGTAGTACCCAATGTTAGGAACTCATTCTAACTTATCTGGTGTTGTTGTTATGTGATCTGACAACATGTCTGATATCCACCGTAGTACCCAATGTTAGGAACTCATTCTAACTTATCTGGTGTTGTTGTTATGTGATCTGACAACATGTCTGATATCCACCGTAGTACCCAATGTTAGGAACTCATTCTAACTTATCTGGTGTTGTTGTTATGTGATCTGACAACATGTCTGATATCCACCGTAGTACCCAATGTTAGGAACTCATTCTAACTTATCTGGTGTTGTTGTTATGTGATCTGACAACATGTCTGATATCCACCGTAGTACCCAATGTTAGGAACTCATTCTAACTTATCTGGTGTTGTTGTTATGTGATCTGACAACATGTCTGATATCCACCGTAGTACCCAATGTTAGGAACTCATTCTAACTTATCTGGTGTTGTTGTTATGTGATCTGACAACATGTCTGATATCCACCGTAGTACCCAATGTTAGGAACTCATTCTAACTTATCTGGTGTTGTTGTTATGTGATCTGACAACATGTCTGATATCCACCGTAGTACCCAATGTTAGGAACTCATTCTAACTTATCTGGTGTTGTTGTTATGTGATCTGACAACATGTCTGATATCCACCGTAGTACCCAATGTTAGGAACTCATTCTAACTTATCTGGTGTTGTTGTTATGTGATCTGACAACATGTCTGATATCCACCGTAGTACCCAATGTTAGGAACTCATTCTAACTTATCTGGTGTTGTTGTTATGTGATCTGACAACATGTCTGATATCCACCGTAGTACCCAATGTTAGGAACTCATTCTAACTTATCTGGTGTTGTTGTTATGTGATCTGACAACATGTCTGATATCCACCGTAGTACCCAATGTTAGGAACTCATTCTAACTTATCTGGTGTTGTTGTTATGTGATCTGACAACATGTCTGATATCCACCGTAGTACCCAATGTTAGGAACTCATTCTAACTTATCTGGTGTTGTTGTTATGTGATCTGACAACATGTCTGATATCCACTGGAGTACCCAATGTTAGGAACTTATTCTAACTTATCTGGTGTTGTTATTATGATTTACTCGCCCTTACATGACAATTGCAGTCTTTACTGGAAAAAACTTATATCGCTTTCTGTGACAATTCAATAAAAAGACTGTTTTTCCACATTTGTATGTTAAAATAATAGATATGGGTCTCATAAATAATGACAGTATGATCCAATATGGGCACAGGATCCGATAAAAAATTACTTGAATAGATGTATGGGCAAAGAAGAAATGACAACAGTCCAGACAAAGAAATTTGAGGCTCGCTAAATTGAAAAATTCTTACACTCATTTCATAAATCTCACATGAAATGGAAACTCATGTAAGATCGGATATATCATTTACCAACAGGCCCCTCCTCACTAAACATGGGCAGCAGAAGACGAACGGGGGACCAATGAAATGACGACGACACAGGATGAAAGGGAGACTAACAGATTCCCCGACTGACTGAACAGTGCCAGCGGAAGATGTCAGGTAGACTTGCCTCATCTCTAGAATATTGAATTATTAAGTAAACTAGAAAATGCCTGTAAGACATGAATGCCCCCGTCACCATGTGGAATTAGTTTCAGTGTTTGATGTTCTATAAATAGTTACAACCACTTTGATCATGGGACAGGGAAGGCAATGAGACGGGATGGGACAGGACAGACATGGGCAACACTATATGCTCCCCCATTTTATGGAGGGAGCATAAACAAGAGGCCCACTGGGCCTGCATCGCTCACCTGGTATTTATCTCACAATTGTAACCTTGAAAGTGGAATAAATTAAAGCTACAGGCAAAATATCAGTGTCTTGACATCAAGTCATTCAAAAGAACCTGTGACCCTGAAAGTCAAACATGGACATTTAGTTTAACAAACTTCATAGCCCTTCCTCCCAGAATGCAACTTGCCAAATATCACCACCTTATACCTTTTGTTTATTGAGAAGATGACTTTTAAAGATTTATGCTTTTTGGTTATTCAGAAGAATTTGTTTAAAGGGTTTAAACATATTTGACCCCTGTGACCTTGAATATAGGTCAAGGTCATTTATTTGAACAACCATGGTAGCCCTTCATCCCAGCATGCTACAGGCCACATATCATCACCCTAGGCCTCTTTGTTAATCAGAAGATGTTGTTTAAAGGTTTTAACATATTTGACCCATGTGACCTTGAAAATAAATGAAGGTCATTTATTTTAACAAACTTGGTATCCCTTCATCCCAGCATGTTACTGGCCAAATATCATTACCCTAGGCCTCTCGGTTATTCAGAAGTTGTTTAAAGGTTTTAAGCAAATTTGACCCCTGTGACCTTGAATATAAATCAAGATAATTTACTTGAACAAACTTGATAGCCATTCATTTTAGCATGTTACTGGCCAACTATCATCACCCTATGCCTCTTGGTTATTCAGAAGAAGTTGTTTAAAGATTTTAACATATTTGACCCCTGTGACCTTTAAAATGGATGAAGGTCATTTATTTGAACAAACTTGGTAGCCCTTCATCCCAGCATGCTTCTGGCCAAATATCATCACCCTAGGCATTTTGGTTTCTGAGAAGGAGTTGTTTAAAAGTAAAAAGTTGACGCCAGACGGGACGCCGGACAGATGGACGACATACGCCGGACGGATGGACGACATACGTCGGACAGATGGACGACATACGCCGGACGGATGGACGACATACGATGGATGGATGCCGCACCATGCCATAAGCTCACTTGGCTAAAAAGAGATAAATATAAGCTAGTAGTAGTATGCAGCCAGGAAATTCTTCATAAAGATAAAAGGGAGTATAAAGGTTTCTTGATTGTAGACAGGATGGAAACCACAGCATGATGGTGGCTGACAGGATCAGTGGCGGACCAATCAATTACTCCTATTTGTAAACATATCCTTATTACAATGAAA